GCTTAGATGTAATATAGCTATTAACAGTAAAATACTAGGGTAAGAGGACAACCAGATGACTGAATGATTTACTGAATGAGGTAATATCATACTAACGTTATTTTATTGTAATTATTAGATTTTTATCGTATCAGATAGGTCATCAGCATGAGCTGGTTGAAATGCAATAGAATATGTGTGTTTATAGAAACGGGATATGAAACAGGCTAGCGTTGGCTTATCACTAGGCTTAGGCGTAATCCTATGCTTAAGCTTCTGAGACAGCACAGACCAAGTGAAGCAGCCGAGAACGGAAGGGAGAGGAGTAGAAGCCAGTTCAACCACAAATCTAAGCCGCATACTAGTGTTCTTGTAAACAACAGGCGTATCGAAGGAAGCTGGATAGGATAGTGGATCAAAACAGAATAAAATACGTACGATTGAACAAAAATGAGATTTCGAGGAAGGGTTTTGTGCAAACGTTTATGGTATTTAGCTTATTTGTTTGATTGATTGTTTGCTGGCTTAATGTGAAAATGAATGCATAATTAAAGGAGAAAGAAGCAAACCTACCTCATAAAATCAGTGAATGAATAAAGTAATAGTAAAGACACGAATTATGATTAGTCGCGTGAAATGTAATGAGAATCACGAAAATATATGAACAATAATGACGAAATGTTTAATGAACAAGCAGCGGAAGAAGAAGAACGTTTGACACATCACTTTGACCATCATCAATAAAAGTTTTTGATGATTGCTATTGTTTAATTTTAATTGGTTCAGTTCTAGAGACTGTTTACTTGCGTTGTCTGTTAGATATGCATTTGTTTCGCATGGTTTGAGTGAACAACTCATCATTATTGACTGACAACGATTTAGTGAATAAGTAAACGATGGACCAAAATGATCCACCAAACTTGGGCCAGCATGAGTACTAGGAATTATCAGTTGCTAGCGTTAGCGTTGTTTGATCTTTTGATCCTTTGGGTTAAAGGCCTTCCTTCCATGTTCATGATTTCTTTTCTGGACTGCATGGTTGATTTCTTTTCTAGTTAGTCTTTTTAACAGACAACTAGCCATACATTCGTTCATTCATGAGCCAGTTGTTGATGGAAATATGAGGCAAATGATGATGGTGATATGAGAAGAAACGACGACAACGATAACGATTGTTATTGTTGTTGTTGGTATTGTTGTCCATTTGGTATGTGCTAGATCATAGTGGTGAAATTAAAATAAGTATATAGTAGTAAAATCGTTGCGAGGAAGTATTAGAATGAGGGTAATAGCAGTAGCTTTGCTGTGTATTCCGGTTAGCCATAAGCAGTAATCGTTTGCATTGCTGGCAGTAGTACGATTGAGATAAGCGGCAACTAAACAATAATGTGGAGTAGAGACTAGCTAGGCCAGCGAACGCGAAAAGAGCAAGCAGCATCTACCATACGAGAGTAGCCATTGCCAAGGCAGCAGCTGGGAAAGAACCAGCGAAATGCATTATTTCTTCCCTGTCCATCTATCTATCTTTGTATCTATCTGTCTAATCCAGCCATTCAGGCAAGCATTATGCAAGCATTATTTAGTCATCGAGAGCCAATAAATAAGATCGACCAATCACTAGGCTCATTCTCACTGTTCACTGCTTGCTTTGTCGTTGAACGTTTATATCGTCATCCAGGGAAAAGGGACAAGCACCACAAAACTCATTCCAATAATCTCATTGCTCTATATTCTCTGGCTTGTACGTGAGCTTGCTTACTTTGACCAGTGATTGTGTAGCATGTATCGAGTCAAGTCGACACTGAATCAGGTTTTAGTAGCCATTCAAAATAGATAGGTTATATTAGGTATTACATATGTGTAGCATTTATTGCCTTCAACTAGCTGTACACATGGTTCGTTGACGGTTGCAGCCACATAAAGGTGTACATCTTTGCAGTTTTATATATA